CTCCACAACGTTGAGGGCGTCACAATTTTGATTTTTCAAGGAAGTACGCCAACATCACTTTCTCATTAATGCAATTTACTTTTTGTTTAGACCTCCATTCTTCGAAACGGCTGTATGTTGTTTCGTAAGCGACGCGGGATTTCTGGGGGATTAAATTTTTCAATACGTTCTAGAACGTTGTCTACTTCTGAATCACTAATTTTTTTTCCAAAAACAGTGAAATAATCGCAAACTTTTAAAAATGCGACAATCTTCAGATCGTTTTCGTTGTTTATTATAAAAATGACACTAACCAACCAAATATTTTCAGCCACCCATCTTTTAAATTCAATTTATTCGCGGTAAAAATTAATTAATATTTTACTTAAATTTTGGCAAAATTGTAAAAAGCCTTGTATATAACTCGTTGCAATACTTTGCTTTTTTCGCACGTCGTGTGCGAAAAAAACCTTCCTATTGCAACTAGTTGTATAATAGCTATTATCGCATTTGGTACTTTATTAACAGTGGGATGCATTTAATTGGCACAAATAAAACCGAAATTGCCTGACTGATTAAATATGCGGATCAAAGGGAATGAGAGTAATGAAATTTCGCTACTTTTCTGCACTATATCATTATGCAATTAGATTTAGGCTTCTATATTTTGCGTTTATTTCATTAAGAAATTAGATTATGATGCTCACTCATTGTTTCAAATTAATTTCAACCACCATTTTGCTACTTCATTTTTCGAAACGAATTGGTACAGAAATAAAATTAACTTCTTATTTGCTCCCAACTAAAAAATTTAAACACAATTTAAATTCGCTACGATGGGCAATAAAAAGAACTTTACTATTAAAATTACGACTCTCGAGGCATTTGCTCTATTAAAACTTCCTGGATTTTTTGAATAATTATAAGTGAATTTTAAGAGTCTTCAATTTAATTTATTTGAGTCTCCGAAATGAGGAAATGAGTCTTTATAATAAATTCAAGCTCGTGTTTACCCCCGGGCTTGAGCAATATTCATAATGATCTCCAAAAGAGAAAAATTGATGCGTTTGGTTGTTTTGAGATTTATTCTCTTGAAGTAAAATGACAGAGTATTAGAAATTTCTCACAATGTTTCATTTTATTTGACTAAAAAAAACCTTCTTTTTAAACATGTGAGCAGGAATAAAATTTCACGAGAGACATTACGTACAGTAAGAAAAAAAATCGGGAAAATTAAAATGTTCTTCAAAGTTACGAGATTCCAGTTTGGTGTTAAATAAAGTTATAAAAAGAACTTACATAAATGATGCAGCAAGCGTAGATATATTCTTGTTGTGCATGCTTTATCTTATGAAATGCCTAACAAAGTTAAATAACATTTAATCTCTTATACAAAAAGCTAATGTCCTGAATATAAAGTGAATTCATTAAAATAGCAACACTGATCTAAAAATATTGTAATTTATGTCATCTCACATTGTTCTGTGTACACAAAATAAAAAAAGCATAATTGATTCTGCGTTGCTTTTTGTACAATTATGAAATTCAATCAGCGTATTTAATTACATCAAAAATTTATTCCCGCAAAATTGGGTAAAACAATAAAATGCTACATTGATATCACAACAACGTTGAACATATACAGGATGGCCCAAATATCTCAGAAACTAAAAAGACTTAATTTTTAAAGTACCTCCAGTAACTCTCTACCCCCACGCACCCCAACTTTAACTTGTGGCACATCAAATGAAAGCTATTCAAACAAGCTTTTCAAAAAATCGAATCAGACCATCTATTCATGAGGCACAGAGTGTTCTAATAAAAATAAACCACCCTAATTTTGTTTTTAAGAAGAACATTTTTAAATACATTTTTAACTCTAAAATGTTGCATAACACTAACACACCAGTGATACATAAAATGAAAACACTTTTTAAATGCTTTTTAAAAGCTTTTCCAAAATGAAATGATTTCTAAACATTCTATCGGTAAAAAAAATCTTTCAGCAGTCAGTTTCAACGAAGGAACTTTTAAGAACTGTTGCTATTTTTTAGGTACGTCACCTAATAAAGAAACAAAAATCAGTTTATCACAGCTCCACTAATAATAATTATTACAACATAATAATAATAATAATATGTAGTAAACTTTATTTCCTATAATAATAAAATACATTAAATAGGAATT